ATCGCATGGTTTTCGCGAGCAGTACATGGCGCGATTCTGACACCACTATCAGATTAGCGCAGGGTCAACCGTCACGTTTGACAAATTCCGAAATTTTACGAATCCCCCCTTCTGGCCTTGATACGACCCCCCCCAGTATCAGTTGACACAGCCCAACTCACCCACATTTCCTCCAAAATAGCCGTCGAGCGGGGGGGGGGTATATCAACAGTGAAACGGCAAATTTTTTTCTTAGCACTCACAAAGCGTAAAGCGTCACACTACGACCCCCCGTTGGTGTAGGATTGACGCTGCCTCCGACCTTGCGAATCCCCCTTTTCGTCGGCCGAATACGACCCCCCTCGTTGGACTTTGTCCAACGGACGGTTGACCCTGGATTAGCGCCAGGGCATCCTTTTGACGAATGCGCGCCATTCTCAAACTCCTGGTAGGAAAACGCTCCATATTGACGTCTTAATACTACTGGCCGAAGGTTCAATACGGGGAAAGGACGGACTTCTTAGCTACAACACTGGTGGAGGGGGAGGAGCTTCATTGAAAGAGAATAGTATCCTTTCACGAGCGAAGTTCAAATAGCATCTTTTGTCTCCTTCAACCCCACCATTTGCAACAATTGCTCTCTTAGAGCTCAAGAAACTTCCAATTTGAAGAACCTTGTCACAGAATTGATTTCAAGGCTATTTCGCTTTTTTGAGCTATCAGGTGCTCAAGTACTAGAAACCCAACCCCAATGGATAACCCGTTTCTATGGGAACTTTCTGATTTCGCCAGTATTCGCTTGCGGTTCATAGCTCTATCACTCAAGGCTTTTGCCATTTATTACTCTTAATATGAAAAGCGGCCGTCAGAAATTCCTCCTTTGTTCAATTTTATCAAATTCCACTGAGTCCCAGATCAGTACAACAAATTGGCCCACCGTGAATTTACCATAGTACGGTAGGAAAATTACATGTACGAAGAGGATGTGTTGAAGAGATACACTGCAAGCCGTGTATTTAATCAGCTGGCATCAGCGCCAAGTGACACAATGTCGCATAAGATGCAGGACAAGCTCTTTCTACACAATGTAAGATCGCACTGCGTTGAGACCTGCTTAGAGGCCTCATGCAGCGTGCGCTAAGCTCAGTTCCATGGTGCACGCCCGAGCGCTCAGTGATTTCAATAAGACATTAAGGCCTCGCCCACCTTATTAATCCCAGTCTTGGGGTCTATCTGCCGCTTCACTGTGCTTACCGCCCTTGATCAGCCGGTTCGCCTCAGAGTCTGGGACAGCCTCAATATGACCTCTTTCAGATCTCAGTACTACAATGAGCATCAGAACTACCACCACTTTACCGGAATCGGTAGAAACCTTTCGTCTACCGACAATCTTGGCCACTTTGCCAATTCATATATTCACAGCTGTATTCATCACTATCGTCATGGTCAGCATTTTGCTGACCAGACATCTACAGCCACGTCCTCGAACTCTTCTCGCAATCACTGCGGATTTTTTGTGGTCGCTTCATTTTATGATCTTGCATTTGACATCAGCTACTTGAGTATCGTTGACAGACAACAGGTATGGATCCTAATCGACTTAGTGATCAATCAATATGACCACTTCACTTTTATACAGCATCTCTTGTTACAGATTAGCGTACAGGAATGCTCCGCTATACGGAACTTCGTTTACAATCCTATTGCCACTCAGGCTTTCGTTGACGCTCTTGAGCGATTTCTTATGGCATTCTTCAACTATGACATGCCCATATCCATGTCAGTTTTTCCAAGTTTTCAAAGAACGCATGAGCAACCCGGAAGATCCTGAGAGAGCGCTCAAAAGTTCAGTACCGTCAGATACCGCATTTTCTTCAGTTCTACCCAGAAACCGGCCATTTTTTTCTGTAATTTGATCAAAAACGTTTCAGTTTTGAATTTTTCAATGATTTTTCTTTCAGTGTTTTCATTCTCTACTGTCTATTCCCTTTGTTTTGTGTCGCAATGGCTATCTATAACACATTCATTTCATCGAGTCTCCTACTGCAGACTGACGACATTTGTTCTACAGTACGACGCACACAAGCTGGACTAATATCGTGCTCATTCTTATACAATGGTATATTTACTTCAAATTCATAGCCCTAAAGCGCTGGCCATTGAAATCGCCAAAAGTAATTACCATTTGCATCGGGCAGACAGGTGCACCTGCATTGCAGGGTTACCACCATACCATACGGCATAAAATTATCACTAGCACCAGCAATCATGCGAAATTGATTTTTTCAAGACCATTCTAGTTCTACATATTACTGCCATTTTACAACGTCAGTGGATCACGAATCAGAGACCTCAAAAAAATCAATGCCAACTGCGATTTTTGGTGCATTCTCCTCAATACCGTATATATATGTCTAATCTGAATTTCAGACACGGTTGGTGACCTTTCGTGAAAAAAAAAAGACAGTAAATAAGCCCTCGTAATACCCATAAGAAGCGTCTCTAACTGGATTATGGGACTAATGTGTTCGATGCAGCAGAATGCTCAGCAAATATGAACCCTTCAGAATGCGCCACGCACTCGACCTCCGCTAAGAATTGTAACGTCCTCATTGAGCATCCTTGGGCGGCCTATACGGTAATTAGTGAGCGTTTGTAGAGTGAATGAGTGGTTTATTCGACTAGATAAATCTGAAACCACAACCACAACAATCTCACGAATATAATATACGGGTTTTTACTTGACCGTTGACAGTTTTCATTTTAAGCCCAATGCGTCAATGTCAGCGCCATTCGACTTCAAAAGCGAGGTATAATATGACATAAATATGACGAAGATAGAGGCCTACTTGTGATTCATTCATGAATGAAATTAATGAGAGCTAATGTTGAAGAGCAATTCGCTTCATCAGCTACGATAAAGAAAAAGAAGCCTTTTTTGAAGGCATCATGTTCGTCATATGCACATATGAAACGCATCACTAGACGAGCATCTTTTCTGGGTTTTCCGCGATCGACACGCGGCGCGAACCAATAACTCCTTTGTTACGGTAACGCGCAAAACAGTCGCTTAGTTCAAATGGGTATCCGACGGAGCTCATGCGCCGGGCAAGAAGGCAAAGTCAGCAAACGAGTCACAGCGCGTAGTGTAGTAAATTTGCGTCAAATTAAGTAGAATGTGGCATCCTACACCCATCCGCGCTGCGACTCGTCCGCCAACTCGCGACGGGCCTCCTGTCGGGTACCCGTTTAAATGCACAATCCAGGCAGAACTTATGTGAGCAATTCCTTTTGATGTATAGGTAGACCGAGCCCAGAGGAAAGTCACAGATGTGGCAATCCTTGCCATTAGAAGGCTCGACAAGTGCGCTAGAGCCTGCAAAGACAGCTTCGACAGCTTCAATCTTCCCTATCCGCAGCAGGCTGTTGTCTGGCGCCCTCTCATCTAACCCGCTATTTCATCTGCTACTCTCGCTCAGTCTTTCAGTGGCTTAGTATAACCGCATCACCGAGGTGAGCAAGTTACTTTAGCGCTTTGCTTCCACCTCCATAGCAAAAACTCCACGCGAAGAAATAAAAGCGTGACTGAATCTGTCTGCTTAGCGCTCTGGACTGCAGGACCTAATAAAGAACAAGCGAGAAGTTTCTTAACGAACAACTCGATCTATATGAGAATGCAGATTTTCCAGGGGTTCAGCGATTGTCGCTTCCATTTTGTACGTGGCTATTTGGAGCAAAGTTCGGCACCAACGCAAAGTAGAAATAACGTCAACTAGCAACACTGAACACGACCCAGCAAAGATGGTACGTTTCACTTCAAAACATGGAGGAGTCTCTTTCCGACCAGCTCCAATTATTTCTTGACCGGTTCATCAGATAGTTCGGGCCCTAACGATATACTATCACAGACTTGCTGTTTCCCAAATCCTTCCTCATCCCCAAACTTGCAACTTTGCGTTCCACTTTAGCCTCCAGACTACAATGATGTAAATCCAATAGTAAACCTGATGAGCCCCTAGCATTTTAGCTGAGCCGTACTCATTTCCCGTTGAGAATTATGAGACCATTTCGATATGGTAGCAGGCCTTGTTACAGTTCAAAAAAGCAATCGATGCCACATAGGGGAAATTAGATTAGCGTGCACATGAAGCTTGACTTAGCTGGATGATCGCGCAAGAGGAGCAGGGGCAAAAAAGTCCTTCACCCATGACGCACATCATCAAACTCTTGGTCGTGCAGGGGGTCGCTGGTAATGGAAGCTTTACAGCAAAATATTCCTCAGATGTCTTCCCCACCCTCTCAT